ACAATGTATATGTATTACGTTCGTCTATGTATCGTGATCCGCTTTTTAATAATCCAATTTATGTGGCATGTCAGCTGGTTATCCTTGAAGTTTCCCGTTTTCGTATGCAATATGCTCGCTTTTGTCTCTTCCTCTTCTTCCTTCGATATTTATTTTATGGCAACTTTAAGTTTACTTTTTATTTTATTTTCTTTAAATTATAAATTGCAGTTTTTATAGATGCTCGTAGTTTTTTAAAGCGCAAGGCCGAACGCTATTGCACTATAGACAGAGATAGTTGATTTCGTTTAAAAGGCGTTAACTAAGTATATCACACACTCACACACACATATACACACATATTCACGATGATACATGATGATATGAGTGTTTATGCAGTGTGTTCTTTATTATTTTAATGTCTTATAAATTATGCATGCAAAGACAAGCGGCTAAAAATTCTTCACACAGCTCGTCGGAGCCGCTTGTAGATGCTAAGCACGTTTCTAAATGCGTTTGAACGGGCAATGGGAACAATTTTGTAAAAGAAATCTAAGAAAAATATTTTATGCTAATTAAGTGAAATATTTCTGGGAGTCAAGTCTATCCAGTTCTATATGAAACTTATTTACGTTGATATGCTCAAACAAAAGACTTAAGACACAAACTTGTCGAACATAATAATTATAAGGTTTGTGCATTTTTCGTTAGCTAATTTTGGAGTTTGTTTTCATTTTTTTACGCTCCTCCTGTCATGCAACAGCTGCAACCGCAAACTGCAAATTTTACACCATTTTTGGAGTTTTTTTTTTTTTTTGTATATTCAAGCTACTGTTTTGTTTTTTTCTTGTACTTTTTTGCCTCAATTTCTTTGGTCATTGCGCAAAGCACTTGTTGCCCAGTTGCTGGTTCCCCGTTTCCCGTGTGTCTGAGTGTCTTTGTGTTTGTAATTTCTACCTGGTTAATGGGAGCGTAAATGCGCAGCTGGCATGCGAAGTTAGTTTGAATAGTCGTACTCGTATTCGCTCGAATTCTAATGTCAGTTTCTAGTAAAGTGCAAAAGGCAGAGGCACACAGACAACTTAATGGAGTGGCACAAAAAGAACCAAGCAAGCGGTTAGCTTAAGTTCAGCCAGCTTGCATGGATAAACCTGAACAAAGACCAATGAATGCGAACAGCTAGCTGAGATAGCTGTAGATATAAGCTATATATGTATGTATGTATATATATGAAGACTAATGCACTAAATTTATTTCCGGCAGTTAAAGCAGTCTACTAAATTAGTAGAAAATATATTATTATAATTACAATTTTTCTTAGATTTCAAATTAACAAATTTGCTTCCTTTGATTTTTTAATTTTTAGCTTTATGTATTTTTTAGTTTTAAGAGTTTGCTCATTAAATTTAATATTATTGATAAATTTCTAAATTCCAAATTTTGTATTATTCATTGATTTTTAAGGATTTAAATGCGGAGTTTTCTTTTTAGTGTTTATCACTTCTGCGAAAATTTCACTTAAAGTTTTCTATTTTCCAACAAAGCTTTTGCATTCGCGCACGCGCGTTTCTTGACGGGCTCAAAAAACTTTACACACAAATCCTTTGGCAACACACATACACAATTGCACGCAGTGCATAAACAATTGTACAAAATCCAGTTTTAGTTAGACTCACACACACGCACGCACACACACACACACTCTAGCACTCTAGCGCAAGACTCTGCGACGGAGCCAATTCGTTTACTGTACCATGCCACACGAAGGCCAAACTCTGACTAAAACTTGTTCAAGAAATTCAATGCGGCTGCACCTGAAATTTCAGTCCACACACACACACACACACACATACAGCACGGAGACACACGCAGACCGCAAGACACGGCAGCAGAAAAGGCAAAGCAAAAGAAGGTAGAGAGCCGCAGAGCAGCCAATACATGGATAGGTAGAAAAGTACGATGAAGAGATGAAAATAAAATAGCGCGACGTGCCCGTTTTACAGATTTTCTTGTTGTTGTTGCTGCTGCTGTTGTTGTTGCTGTTGTTGTTGGTGTTGTTCACTCTTTTAGTCTTTCAGAGTTGTCGCTGGCGGCTTTTTGTTGCCAGCCTCATATATTCGTTGGCTTACTCAGTGCTAGACTTCTTAACGGCTTTCACACACACACACACACACACATGCATATACACTGTACGTACACTTAACTACTTCTCGCAACCACAGCCTCAACGTCCACAACGCGCTGCAGTCGACAACATACTAAAAGCTCTGCTGGCTATCAGCGGCCGGGCCGGCTCATAGCCGCAACGCCGTTGACTTCTGTGGAAATGGCGGCATGTGAGCCCGCCAAAGTTGCGGCGAATTCGAATCGGCAATTGTTACCTGATCGTTTAGCGAGCCCGGTCACTGCGTGAGCTTGGGCAGGGCATCGAGATTAGCTGCTAGTTCCTTGGAAAATCCTACTAATTACCTTGCAACGCATGCACATGTGCCATTTATGCTGGGTTTTTCTCTTCCCATTTTCGATCTCAGTTTTTCGGCGACTGTTTTCAAATATTTACCAGTCTGGGCCAGGATTTGAGGCCTGCGTGAGTGTCCTGTACGTGCGAAATGCCAAACGGAAGCGGAATCTACTAATGCAGCTGTTGTTGTTGCTGCTGCTGCTGTTTCTTTTATTATGGCGACTTAACACAACGAAAGACTTAGACAACGAACTAGCCCAAAGTGCTGTGCTATAAAGCAAGCAATATAAGACCGAAAGTGGTTGCTAAAAGGTTGCAAGGGCAAAAGAGGATAAGGTTTATTAGAGCACTTTATTAGGGCAACATGCACACAAGCACACAAACAATCGGTAAACTCATAAAATATAAAGTAGGCTCTGTTTGTTTATGCCTTTGCATTGGATTATTTGTTAATGAATGTGAATCATCTACAAGAGTTGATAATGACGCAATATATGTATATATGATGAGCTGGAATCGTAATTCCCTGTTTGAAATCCACTTTGTATTAAATTTTTTTGCAACTTTATTTGGTCGGTATAATTTTCTAGTTAAAACTTGCTGTACTTAAAGCTTATTGAAGCTTATATACAGGTATAGTATCGATGCATTGCTAAGACTCAAAAGTCATACTGCACTTCAATGTTAAGTGGAGAATCTGTACATTAAATTTAGACTTTTATAACACTTTGAATGTTGAATTGAGTGAAAGATGAGATCAGGGCATATAAAAAGTGCATTTATTCCTTTAAGCTAAAATAAAAGTTGGAAGCAAAACCTATTCCTAATTAAAATTAAACTTTTAAGTACTCTATGATTTTTAGATTTTTAAGGAACAAGAAGCAGCTTTCTTCAGGGAATATTCCAATCAACTCAATGAAACTGAAGTACATACTTCTATCAATATAAATACACTCAAACATGAATCTTTATGTCGATATAATCATTCACATCTGTATGTCTAAGACTCAAGACAAACCAGATACCAAAGTGAACATGAGGAAATATAAACAATAAATAGTTTAACTAAGAGGTTGCCTAAATCAGATGACTATGCAATAAAGCGTTTGTAATGTTAATATATCATAAAGTCACCTCATATTATATTAAGGGATAGTACATATCTAGAAGTAATTGCAGGTTACTACAAATACAGCTGATGTTGTGTTAGATAAGACAGTAATGCATGATAATTTGGTAACATAGATATCGTACTACCGCAATGGGGTTGCCCAGAAGGCCAAGTGCCAAGCCCTTAAACGCTTCGCTAAGCAAACACGCAAGCATTGGACAGTTGGGTCAAATGAGTATTTCTTGAATGCAAGTGCCACGAATACAACCAAAATGCATTAAGCCCTGGAGAAAGACAAAGAGATACTATGAGAGAGTGGACGAGGGACAGAGAGGTTTGCTTAGACAAACTCAGGCGACACTTTGACAATTGACAATTGGCTCGTCGCGGCGGCAAATATTGCAGACCAGAACGGAAGTGCCATATAAAGCAGGTTGAAAGCCGTTAAGGCCCAGCCAGAAATACTCTTGGGTTTCACAAATATATATATCTATATACATACATATTTTTTTTTAGAGAAAGTTTTGACATATATGTCACAAATCGGAACAATTAATAAAAAAATTAACAAATTTCGAAAAATAGATATAAAATTAAATTTGTAGAAAAATGCTTCCGAAGAAGAACAAGAAATGCAGTTAGCTATTTGAAATTATTACAAGCATGAATGGACAATACAAGATAAAACATAGACTGAGTGACACCATCAAGGAGCGACCCAAACGTCCTAAGCATTATCTTTTAGCTCTTGGACTTACTATCTTCCCAGGAGTATTTCTTGGCGGATTTCTAGCAAAAACTATAGCATATATGCTAGAAATCAACCATTTATATTCACCCGAAGACCTGCTCGATTATGACGACGATTGAAAGGCGAATACATTTTGAAAGTTGAGCACATCCGTTGGGCTAGGATCTGACTATGTTCAAAGTCGATTTGTAATGTCTCGCATACTTTGCTTTGATTCATGTTCGCAGCTATCCACAAGTACTGAATCTCATCCAAAATTATTGGCAGTTTAATGGAGTTTATGGAATCAACCAAGACTCGCCACATAGAAGGTTTTTAATTACAAAAAATTCAGTTTCCAAATTCAAGTTGGAAAGCAAAACCTTAGGGAATTCCCAATCTATGCAGAGACTTGATAATTTTTCTTTTGTACTCCAACTGGTGTAGCCTGACGTCAATATTAAAAAAAAAAATTGTACCCAGAATAAAGTGTAATCAAAAAGGGAATCTTATGGTGGAGACTGCTCTGTTCTTTGAATATAATTTCATTTTACAATTTCTGCAATATTAATAATTGAATTTAAATATAATAGAAATAATAATAATAAAAAAAAAGTAGAATACAAATTTAGTTTGAATTTTGGTAATAAATTCAACGGTTTCTTAAAAGTGTTGCCCCAAGACAAATGTTGACAAAAAAATGCGTTAAAGAGCTTAACAGTGTTGAAGGTCGTCGCAAAAACATCTGAGTAAAGAGCGCGAAGCTTTGTTTATTCAAAACTAAAAGCTTCGCATCAAAGCAATGTGAACTCTTTAAGCTTTTCCCACTCATTTCTTGGCATTCGCTTGCTCATCTACTCCAATTAGGGCTCGTAAAATTAATTGAGAGGCTTTTATGATGCTGCTCTTGCTCTAAATGCATAAATTAAATTTTCAGCAAATATAAATTAATTAGCTTAAAAATAAATACCAAAACTTTGTTTTATTATACCCTGAACCCATTGAAAATGGGAAATCAGGGTATAATGGTTTTGTT